CAGAAATCTTAGAATCATACATTGCGAATAGATATTTCAGAGTAAAACAGGAAAAAGTGTACACCGACTTAAGGGAGATTAAAGCTGGCGTGCCACAAGGGAGTATCTTAGGTCCGGTCCTGTACATATTGTGACATTCCAGAGCTAGAACAAAACACTATTGCCACCTTCGCGGATGATACAGCTATACTAGCAATATAAGACACTAGTAAAGTAAGTGAACTATCAGTCAATAAAATACATAACTGAACCAGAAAATGGCCAATAGAACTAAATGAGACTAAATCTGCACACATAAACTTTACAAATAAAAAAATGAAAATTTCCCAGGTAAAATAAATGATAACCAAGTTCCTTATGCAACATCAGCAAAATACTTGGGCATCACCCTAGACGCGAAGCTGCGCTGGAAAGTCCAGGTCAAAAAGAAAAGAGAAGAGCTTGATATTAGATATAAGAAATTGTACTGGCTGATTGGAAAAAATTCAACATTATCCATTCGTAATCAATTATCCATTTACAAGCAAGTATTGAGCCCAGTATGGATATATGGGTGCCAACTCTGATGCTGTACCAAAGCTAGTAATCCACATATTATCTAGAGATTTCAAAACAAAGTACTGAGAAACTTTGTTGATGCTTCTTGGTATATCCGTAAGAGTAACCTCCACCAGGACCTGGGTATGGAAATTGTGACCGAAATAATCAAGAGAACAGCAGTAATTCACGAGCGGAGGCTGCATATACATGTGAATATCGAGACAATCCAGCCTCTTGACAACATTGAACTAAAGAGAAGACTAATAAGGACAAAACCATTTGAGTTAGTGTAAATGTGTAACAGTTTAGAGTAAAAACAAGAGTATAGTGCTATGATGTTATTGCACATTTATCATCATCAGTTAGCCTATGTTTGTTCACTGCTGAACGTAGGCCTCCCGTAAAATTTTCCACCTATTTCTGTCTTGAGATTCTTGCATCCAGTTTGTGGTGATGCCCTTGATATCATCCGTCCATCTAGTCGGTCCTCTGCTTCGATATGCATCTTGCCTTGGTCGCCATTTTAGAATCTTTTTGGTCCATCTGTCATTCGTTACTCTGGCAACATGTCCGGCCCAAGCCCATTTAGCCCTGGCTATTTTTTTTCTAATAATTCAACTAATATGAAATATTATTGCATATTAGTAGTAGTGTAAGCTATTTTACACAGGCAATATGAAAATTCATACAGGACTGCAGCCTGAAGGTCCATTTCGTGTCAGCAATAAACAAGTAGATGTGACCAAGAGATTAACCTATATATACTTCGATGAAATATCACTGCTGATAATTGGTTTACCGATCTAAATCTCGTCAGCGATTCGAAAAAGAAAAACAAACTCGTCATATTATGTAGAGACAGTCAGAAGAAACAAAAATGTCAACTACCACCTGAATTAGTGAGTACGGCAAACATACCAATACAATGTAACTTTTTGCTTTAGTGAAGATTGTACTCTTGTATCGCATGTGCCGAAGAAGGGAAAAAACGAAATTTTAGTATCTAGTATGCACTTCGATGACGTAGTAAATTCAGATATGCACAAGTCAGAGATAATCAATTATTACAATTAGATATAATCAGGGTTTAACACTGTATACCAAATGGTTGGTGCGTGTATTGTAGCCAGAAACAGCAGACGGTGGCCTACGGTGATATTTTACGTCGTCTTGAACGTTGCTGAGATCAATCACATGCTAAATCACAATTCAAAAATACGACGTAGACTCTTCATTCGAAACTTCTTCAAGTCAGTTATTGTTAGAGCAAATAAAACGGCTATCGGATATTACTACAGGTATTCACAGGCCATTGCAGCTTCAGCTTCAGAAACATAAGGAGGAAACGTCAACCAGTGAGCCAGATCCAGATGTTGTTAAAATGAGCAATAAAAGAAAACGGTGTTCTTCTTGCTATGCGAAAAAGATGACGCATTTGTCCAAATACTATTGTAAATGTTGTACCACATTTTTATGTCTTGAGCATAGCAATATTGTTTGCAACAGTTGTTATAACCGTTTTACTAATCCTTCTGCTGATGAATTTGATTAAGTTTAGCTAAATATATTTATGTGTTTGGTTTATTTTTGCCTTACATTAGTTACAATAATAATAGATACTACGTGTTATTTTGTTATGTTTCTAATACTGTATTTATTTTATTTTCTCTTAACAATAAACTAATTTAAATCTGCTTATTTTTTGATCAGTTATGTTCAAAATAAACGTTTCTTCTGATCTCGATTAGTTTTTTTTTTAATCTTAATAAAACATTAAACTTAAACGAATGTATCTCTGAGATACACCGCGACTTCCAAAGGATTAAAAGAAGGATGAAAGAGAAAAGTATAAAAAATCGTGGAAAACAAACATCTGTCGATATAGTGTCAAACTTATCGTGAAAAATCCATCACTAAATAAAATGATTAATAAAACAGTTTTTGTGTGCCAAAAGCACTTTCTGAAAAAGTTTAAAAAATCTGTTTTATTAGTTATGGCCAACGAGTCTGGCTCTGTTATAAAGAGAAGTACGGATACGTGAAACGTCAGCGACCAATAACTATTTATTGTGAAACATTATCTTTCAAATGCACTAATTTCTGTTTCCATAAATACATATGCAATACTGATGGCAAAATGATCTGCAATGCTGATGATAATTCAGCTGAGTCTGACGATAACTCAGATCAGCGCATTAAATCTCCTACGCAAGTTAAAATATATAAATATAAATAACATTACAACAGAAAAAAAAAATTTTTGACTAATATTGTAGATATTAAATCTTAATTCTTGTATAAAATTTTTTTGTGCCTTCTTGTAATTCCTTGCACCTAAAAAATTCTTTTAATTTGAATAATCACTACGTTAGATATTCACATTAACAAAATTGAAATAATTTGCTAGCATGTTACTAATCAGAGTGATAAACATAGAATCTACGGAAATATAACAAAGTTCATTAAAAAAATCTCATTTCTAGCTAACTTAACCTAATTAGCTTATTGCGTTAAGTACATTAATAATATACAAATGCTACATACAATACATTTTCATTCTATTATACCAGCTATTAATAACAGGATTACCACAAAAATCATATCTTCTAAGCCAAGCATAAGGAATAGGTGAAAAGTTTTTAGTTTTGACAATAGAATTACATATAATGTTTGGATATTTTGGTATGTTATGACAAATTTAAATATATTTTTATATTTATTCAGTCTTATTTTTAAGACCTTTTTTATTCTTGTTAAAAATTAAGAACACTGAATATTCTTCCGTCATGAAATTGATTACCAATAGTAAAAAATGATCATTGAAATTAACAATGGTTAAAGCTGATCCAAATGAGGGACGATCAAACTAAACTATCGAGGAAAATATGAAGCAGATAGTAGTAACCTACTGAGCATGTCATAACAATTTACTCTGATATTGGAAAGGGCTGCTTGTATATTAGACAACAAGAAGGCAAACAAATATACATTATATATAACGAATGTAATGCAGTAGCAGAGTTAATATTAAAAATAAAAGATGATATATATGTCGTTGTCAGATAGATGTAGAGAAAATAGCACTGATTAAGGTTTTTTTTTTTAAATTTCATACACATAATCTTTTTATTGAATAAAACAAGGAAGTAAAAGTAAACTAAGTAAATCTAAATTGTAACTACTGTCAAAAACTTTTCATCTTGCCCTTTTTTACAAATTTAAAGTCTAGATATTATTTTAGAATTTTTCATATATTTAGGTCCCTTATTTTATTAGTGCTTACTTTTGTGACAAACTTAAGATGATCGGGTTTTTACCAACAATTGCTTTTTTGTGTAAGTCAATTATTGGTGTTCTCATTTAATAAGAAATTAATGCAAGAAAGAATGAACAAAGTATTGTCACAGAGATGTATTCTTTGTCCATAACGATTATTAAGCAAGAAAAAGCTGGAGAGTAAGTAGCTTGTTGTAGAATAGTAATAAGGATAAGCTGTACCTTTCTGTATCACAACATATCGATATATTTTGAACTTTCTGTAGTGAGTATTGGGTAAATGCCTGGTTACTACGTAAAATCAACTTTATTGTGTTTACATAAAGTCGCTTATTATACTCAAATAATCACGATGTCTCACACTGGTAGCGATCATGTTAGATGAAAACTTTGTTTTATTTAATAAAAAAAAAATAACATGCCAGACGACACCAAAAAAGAGCTCGGTAAGATATAGTCCTGTCTTGCAAATGAGTATTTGCAAGACATCATATTAGAAGATGAGATGAATTTTAGGCCTCTAGTAAAGGCACAAATATACATTTAGGTTTATATTGAACTTGCATAGATAATTGAAATTATATGCAAAAAAATATAAAACTATTACAAACTGTACATTATAAAACCTGGTAGACATACCACGAAGAAAGGACACTAATCTACGCAACTAAAACTACATAGGTTCGTGAAAGATAGCGAGAAATTTATTTTTCATGAAGTAGGTAACGACGACTTACTTATGTTGAGAGATTAGTAAAATTCGGGAGAAAGTTGTAAGATCAAAATGGTGACAAAATGATAACCAATAGAAAAATCGACTAAAGCATAGGGCCAGGAATGATGAAAGCACTAAGGAGTTTTTAAAAGTTGGTACTAAAGTTCAGATGACGAAATGTACAAGAATCTAAGTCAAAATTTTCACGGGTTGAGCAACTTAATAATATAGCAGATTTAAAAATCCGTTACTAATTATGTAGAAATTATCCTGATTATCATATATCTTAACGTTTTGTAGAAAGAATGAGGCTATAGGAATGTAGACAAGAGAAAAATTTTGATAAAGCTTATCTCCACAATATTCCATCGTAAAGACAAAATACAAAAAAAAAATATTATACAACTTTCCTTTCTTGAATAAAATTGTCACATTCTAATACAGAAAGAGATATTCACCAAAAAATAAGCAAATTTAAGCACTTATTTATTATAGAAAACTTGATTTCTTCTTGTGGTAATTTGTTACTACTAATATATTTATACATAAATAAACAGTAACAATCTAAAGCTTTTCAAGCATTGGTAAATTCAAAATTTCTGGAATCTCTATCTCTTCTAAACAAATAACGGATGCATTGAAAACAAATCGAACTGGAAACTTGTACTTCACGTCCATTAGTAATATCTGAAACAAAAAGTAAAATTGTTTAAAAACTTCAAGAAAAAATTTGTATTAGGTTTTCCCAAATAAAACTTCGATACTACAATACAGTAGACTCTCTCTTAACCGACCACCTCGGGACCAAATCCTGGCCGGTTGATCAAATGGTCGGTTAATCCAATGTGCAGGCATTTTCATTAGAAAAATCAACTACATACATACATATTGTTCTGAAGCTTTTTTCTTGTGGGATTTTAAATTAATTACTTTTTTACTGGGAATAAGCCACAATTAAAGATAAAAATACGTTTATTGACGTTTCAATTTCTACTTCGGAAATCGTTCTCAAAATACAAACAGTAAATTATTAGTATATTACTTTATGAGGCGTAGAAGCATGACTTTTCTTGACGTAGCAATTTTCAACCGTAAATAGTACAATTCATACGCTATTTTTACTCGAAATTAACTGTGACAACTATCAAAGTCGTCTAGATGTTAAAAATTAAAATAATTAAGTCGTCGGTGGGATTTGCGTCTCCCTGGTTACAGTTGTTTGACAGTTGTTTGCAATTATTAAAGACAGCTTATTATTGTTCGCAAGCCGCCAACATCGAGAATGATTGCTGAAAGTTGTTCTCGACCATCAGTATCATCAACAAATACCAATGCGTATCAAGAGTCGGGAACATTTTTGCACGGTTTCAATTTTGAAAATGCCTTATTAACTAATTGTACTTTTAATATCACCATAAATAAAAATGAGGTTTAATTGTTGTTAATGACATTTGTATTGTTGCTTTGTGACATGTTTCATATTGTTGCCCTGACAACATTTTTCCCTCCGCCGTAAAGAAATGGGAAAAAAACTGCTGCCGGCGGAGACATCAAACTTTGACAGGATCAAGTTAGATAAGTAATGTCATCATTATTTGACGTTTGAAGAAAAACAAATTTTGTTTTTTGTTCCATAGTGAAAAATTCTTCTAATAATTTAATTTTATCTGACTCATTTATATTGACAATTCAGGCATACATTATGCATTTTAAAGTAGACGACTTTAAAATGATATTGTAAATATTGTTGAGTTGCGCTCGTGGGACGACTTTACTTATAAGATAGTTCGTTCGATTACATGAAGTCAACTTTAACTTGAGAATATCCGTCGGAAAAAAATCATCAATCAAGACAAACACATGACATGATGACAGTAAAATTTTCCTGTTAGTGATTCCATAGTAAATTATGAGGGAAAAAACAAAAAAAAACCTCATAATACTATCCCCACATGGTAAGTATTTGTTCGTGCATTTAGTTTACCTTCAATAAACACCAAAATTCTGATTCTATATGTTTCGTTATTTAAAAAACATAAATGATGTATCCTCTATATGCTAAATGAGGCCAATTGTGTCGCATATTCCTCGGCAGAATGTAATAGGATCTGGTTACCAATATTGAAAGAGGAAGTTATTAATAAGAAAATACCAGTATTAGCAGGTCAGTAACATATAGAGGATACATCATTTATTTTTTTTAAATAACAAAACATATAAAATCAGAATTTGGGTGTTTATTAAAGGTAAACTAAATGCACGAACAAATACTTACCATGTCGGGATAGTATTATGAGGTTTTTTTCCTGGTTTTTCCTTTATAATCTACTATGGAATCACTAACAGGAGAATTTAACTGTCATCATGTCATGTGTTGGTCTTTTTAAAGACGAATTACATGCTATGATTTTTTTCTGACGGATATTCTCAAGTTAAAGTTGATTTAATGTAATCGAATGAACTATCTTATAAGTAAAATCATCCCAGGAGCGCAACTCAACAATATTGGCAATATCGTTTTAAAATCGTCTACTTTAAAATGCATAATGTATGTTTGAATTGTCAATATAAATAAGTCAGATAAAATTAAATTATTAGAAGAATTTTTCACTATGTAACAAAAAACAAAATTTGTTTAATTTACTGTTTGTATTTTGAGAACGATTTCCGAAGTGGAAATTAAAACGTCAATAAATGTATTTTTATCTTTAATTGTGGCTTATTCCCAGTTAAATAGTAATTTACATCCATACATTACATACATATTTCAAACATGTACCGGAAGGTGTATATTAATAAGGATCACGGTGTATGTAGTTAAAAAATACTATTTATTTTTATGTACATTTATATACATATATAAATATTTTACAAACTTGTTTTAAGAAATTCGGTAACTTTCTTCTGTTTCTTGACATTAAGTGAATTTTTAAAAGCTGTATCTCTCCATTTTTTTAAAACCAAGACGACTATTGAAGATGATCCAGGTTGTTGTTCAATATACTTTAATGCCACCTTCATTGCAGCCCTCGCTTCGGTGTGGCCGACCTTTTCCTCTCCTTCTACATCATCATCAGTCTCCTCATTTTCATAGGGCTCCTCATGTGTTACTAGTGTAATTATTTCGTCGTCTGTTAAAAATTGGTTTTCAATTCCTTGTCACAGTTCAATGTCTTCGGCCTGTAACTGAACATTTTCGGATAACGTTTGGAGATCTTGAAGAATGGTGGTAGAATTATCTTCTTCGTCTGATTGTTGACACTCAACAAGTTCCTCAATGTTGGCTTAAAGTTTTCGCCGAGACTTAACAAAAGTAGAACCAGGAATTTCTTGGAAGGAAGAAGTTAACATTTAAATTACGTCCTTTAAGTTTTTTGATAATATCAATAAGACTGAGATCTTCACTTTCTGCGCATTGTAAAATTTTGGACAGTAATTTAAGTCTGTATCGTCTTTTCAAGCGTTCAATCACCTCTTGATCCATCGGTTGCACTGAGCTTGTCACATTAGGTGGAAGAAAGATAATTTTTGTATAATGTGTCTTACATGTTAGGTTCTCAGGGAGAGTTGGAGCATTATCCAGAAGTAGGACTGCTTTAGTGGAAAGATTTACGCTCTTAAAATGGCGCGTTACTCTCAGAACAAATTCACGCTCAACCCATTCTTTAAATAAATCATGCTGATTTTTGTGATCTGTAGAATACGGGGAAGGGCGATGGATCTAAATTTTTAAATGCAAGCGGTTTAGTGGACATACCAACAACGAAAAGAGGAATTTTGTTTGTTTCAGATAACGTAACAAAATCAACCATATATTTCATGACTGCGCGGCTTTAGACCGCAGGCAAAAAACACTTTTTGAAGACTATCAAGTAACTCCAGAAACATAATGTACCCTCCCCTAGACAGGGTTGTGCTCCTATTCTAAAATTGGTATCATGAATAAATGGAAGATCTAAAATAAGCCAACTGGCTACAGTAGTAGGGCTGATTTATAGCAGACGCTGACATAGATTTTAGATCTTTAGGCGGCCAAAAGTCATTTTTAAAAAGTCGAAATAACGGTAAGCTATCAACCGTTCCGGTGAATCAACAGTTCCAGCAACAATGTAACATCCCACCGATAGCGAACGAAGCGCAACAAGTTTGCCTTGGCCTTCGGTCATTCGAATTCGACAGTGAACGCGTGTGTACGTGTTAGTTTTCAACGCTTTCTTAAACTTATAACTTTCTTAAGTGCATTATTCATTGCAAGCTAATTGTTTCGATTTAATTGTGATGTATTTCGATAATACAGGTAAGAACTATTGCTTTTGAAAATAAAATAACTTAGTTTACATTATCTATCATTAATTTTAAACACGACAAACATCACCCTGTTCATAATGTATTGTTTTATTCAATAACTGTTTTAAAGTACTTCTTAGTCCGTCCCTGTCATAATTTTTGTTAAAATATATTCTCGACATGTAACTAAGTAGTTCTATAAAATACAGCCACGTAAATTCGCGCTTTTTTGAGCTAAGCCCCTGTAAAATGCTTTATGTCAAATATAGCAAAATAATGAGTTCGCGTTATTTATTATTAAACTCGTTTTTCCTTTGTTTTAGGTCTACCTCGTGCATCGGATACTAAAGTAGTGACTCGTCAATACATACTTGACCAACTATAAAATTATCGGTCAGATAGCCTAGCGAGCTGGGTGGCTGCTTCTCATTCGCTTCGCTGCGAATGGTTTAGTGGATGTGGGTTCGGTCCCCAGCTCGGTGTACAGAAAACAAAAAGTCTAACGCAGCAGTTTAAAATTCTAGATGAATCTGCGGCTTAGGCTAGAATATGCTGGTGTCTGATCGGCCTATGGTGGAGCAGTACGGCAAGAGATAAGGGCTTGGGGCTCGGTGATACTCCTCCATAGATCCCTACCGGACGGGCGTGACGCCTAAAAAACCGGGTATATATATAATTGAAAAACTTGACCATTTTGAGAATTTCCTCCTAATGCGTTATGGGCACAACCAAGAGGCTAAAGATGTCTTCAAACAAAGATATTCTCATATAAAATCACAAATTAAGCAACGATAGACAAAAGCAAATAAACACCTAGATGTTTTCCTGAAAAAAAAACAATCGTGAATAAAGGAAACATTCGAGATTTCAGTTGAAACAGCTTTCACTCAAGGTCGACCACCCAAGTCTTTTGGAGAACTAAGCAAGTGTAGTAAACGAAAAAAAACGAAAGAAATAAGGGCGACCATAGGTAATGAAGTTATTGTCCACGCTGCTCAATCTTGTTGCAGACAACAGGACATAGGACAGCCTCAAAATTGCTTAACGATATTACGAACTCGCCAACACGGGCAAGTAGATTTAGAAAAGCCTCTGCAAGCACTCAAGATGCTAGTTGAAGCTGATCTATCAAGACGTTAGTATGAGATAATAAGAGCAACAAATTCAAAACATTTTTCTTGCGTGTTTGTTTTGAAAGCTAAACAAGAGTGCTATCCGCAAAAGAATCGCTCAAAATTACATCTACCTGCGCAGAGAGTAACCTACAATATTTAATGGATCTAACCATGACATGATTATATCAAAATACCTAGAAGATGCGTTAATTTGACCTCAATAATGATACTGATGGAGATGCCAATATTTTTATGAGTTACTTTGTACCTTTGCGCAATGTTTGTGGAAAAAACGGTAGTAAAATTATATGACAAAATCCATCCCCTTCTTCGTCAAAATTTTGCCGACCACTACGATTTAGATTTGGAAAAGAAACTACGGATGTAACTAAAGAGATAAAGTATGTACAGGAGTCTATTAAAAAATTGAACTAAACAATTATTACGTTAAATTAAGAGGAGTTTTCGTTCGAGCAACAACTCAAAATAAGTATGATTTATATGAATATATTTTTGAAAGTATTATACACCTTGCGTATAAACTACCTGTAAAAAAATACAGGAAAAAAAGTGAAAAAGAAAAGGCATTAGAAGCTCAAAAGAAGTAAGAAATTCAGGAGAGGTTGCCAATGATGGTAACACAAGTCGCGATTTTTTGAAAATTCCGAATTGGCTTCAGACATTACAGGTATTAGCTTTGATATCATTTATAGATTCAAGGTAAGTTTGGAAACTATTTCAAGTGGCCCCAACATAGGTGCTGAAAAATATAATACGTATGCGTACGAAACAGCAAAATTGTACATGGAACTGTATGGTTGGCATTAAATGATGCCAATCATGTACAAGCTATTGATAAAAACATTCTACATGGAAGCCAAATTATAAAAAGTTCGCTACTTCCAATAGGACAGCTATCAGAAGAAGCTGCAGAAGTCCGGAACAAGCATTTGCGATCATATCGGTTAAATTTTGCTAGAAAGTTTTCTAGGAAAGAGTATAACTTATATGTATATTATAGGCTTTTGCCAAGTTCAGATTCTTTCATTAGTTACTTGAGACAAATAAAAAAAATCAGTCAGGGCATTTCTATCTGAAACGATTGAATTTTTATTGCCTGTTGATCCAAACACAGAGTCAATGGAGACGTCTGAACTGGAAGATAATGATTATTAATATATTTTTTATTGTTAATTCGAGTTTTCATTCATTTGTGTATTGTAACTATTATTGTTTTTTTAACATAACAAATATATGTTTTTTGAAAAATAAGGCTATTATCGAGAACAAGTTAATTAAATCTAGCCCAAGTACTTTCGCTTTAAATAGCATCTTCAGGGGCATCTAAAATAAGCCAAGAAAACGTTTTTTAGATGAAGGAAATTAGTTAACGTCGATAAAATGAATGAAAAAAAAAAGAGTTTTTGAGATTAACGTTTTAGACTTACTTCGTCAAAATATAAACTATCCGGCAAGCGTAGAATGTGGAAACATTAACAATAACATAAAATTGTACAAAACACTACACTAAAACGAGGACAAATAGTTTAAAATTACTTTAAAGATTCTACGCTACATTCTTTGTCAGTATCTGGAGGGATAATGATCTAAGCGGAAATGATACGGTGACATGTGACATATGACAACTTTGATAGGCAGTCAAAGTTATGGATCTGTGATCAGCACATATTAAAATTCTGTATAAGTTGTCATTGGCCAAAGGTCCAATTAGAACTACTACTGAAAAAATCAGCTGATGAAGTATGTCATTTGATTTAAACTAGATTGCATAATCCAGATCTCACACTCACACCCGTCTGTAATAATAAGGTTGTAGGTTTGAGGCTAAATGAAGTGTACATAAAGTGTGAATGAAATAAATGGACCAAACAATCTATTGGACAGTGGGTAGATGACTACAATAAAGTGGTCTACCAGGCACTGTCAATACTGTAAAAACGAGACGAAAAAATTGACTATAAAATTGAGATATTCAAATTAAATCAGAATTTAAAGCAGTGTGTAAATGGGTATAGTTCAAGTAGTTCAGTTAAACCTCAAGCCAATGGGGGAACTGTAAAACTAATATGTAATAGCATTACTAAATACCAACTGACCAACAGGTGTTGAAATATAAAACTGTGGAATTAGTATATGTAAATTATGCAGAGGTATGAAGAGTGAAATCAACTCCAACTGTTGATCAATTAAATCTGAGCAAGCTAGTTGTGTAAATTGTTAAATACAATAGTAATGCTGAACAAAGCATGAAATTGGTAGATTCTTAATGTATAAACTCAGTGCAGGAAGTCTAGACAGCCGAGCTGGGTCCACTACGAGGTGAAGCTGTAATAAAGTTTTTAAAAATAGGTTTACATTTAGTACAGTTTAAATTAATTTGAGTGTTAAGACAATGAGAGTTTCCATTCGTTTCCTTTTTGATCTCCAAATCTTCCAATAGATCCAACTCCAAATAGTTATTCTTTCTACTGATGTCATGCAAAATAGACGAACCAGTATTGATGTTTACTTTTGTTTACTAGACTCTAAATGTTGACCAAAACTTGAAGAGTTTGGTCTTTTCAAATGTTCTGATATTCTGGTAAAAAGCTTTCTAATGGTTCTGTCTACATAAAAGGCATCACAATCATCACACTTTAATTTGTAACTACTATTTTTGTCAAGTGTGTTTAGCCTGTCTTTGGTGTTAATTAAAAAGGAACCTACAGTGTTGTGTGACTTAAAGGAAATTTTGATGTTTTCAACTGCAGAAGTAAAAAAGTTTAGCTATTTTATTAGAAATGTTGCTAATATAAGTAAAAGAGAAATATCTGATGTTGTTAGAAGCATTTGTTTGAAGAAGACGTTGTGATGAATATGCAAGCTTTTCTGTAATTTTGAGTTTAGCTCTATTTAGAAGCTTATGGATAATGTTGGGATCATAACCATTATTTAAAGCAATTTGTTTGAGAGTGTTGAGTTCTAAATTAAAGTTATCATTCGAAAGTGGAAATTTAAGTAATCTGTGAATATAACTATTGAAAGCAGCCATTTTATGTTGGGTTAGATGGTTAGATGTCTCATGTATAACATGATCTGTTTGGGTGGGCTTTCTGTAAATATTGTACTCAAGAGAATCTTTATTGCGAGATATAGTCATATCCAAAAAGTTCGACTTATTGTCAGATTCTGGTTCCAAAGTAAAAGATATGTTAGGATGAAGGTTATTAACATCTTCCAGAATCTGTAAAGCATCATCTTGGGATCCGTGTATCAGAGCTATACAATCATCAACGTACCTTGACCAAAAAATTATTTTGTTGTTGTTAACAAATTTCTGTTCTAAGCTGTCCAAAAAAATATCAGCTAGAAAAGGTCATAATGGAGATCCCATTGCTGAACCTATCGGTTGTTTGTATATTTTTTGGTTAAATTGGAAGAAATCTTGATCAAGACAGAATTTAAGCATAGTTGAGATAGCATCTTTGTCTTTAGCCGGTATGTTGCAATTGTTTAAAAGGTTGTGTACTAAAGGTAATGTTTCATCTCTTGGTACAGAAGTAAACAAATTGGAAACATCAAAGGAAACCAAATAAAAACTCTCTTCTATTTTGATATTATTTAAACGTTCTATTAGATCTAAAGAATTTGTAATGGAGAACTTAGGTTTAAAATTAGTAATAGATTGATTATTTGATTTGATTGACAATTCTGATTTAATTTGAATATCTCAATTTCATAGTCAATTTTTTCTTCTCGTTTTTAGACCATTTTATTAGACCATTTTATTGTAGTCAACTACCCACTGTCCAATAGATCGTTTGGTCTATTTCTTTCATTCACACTTTATGTACACTTTATTTAGCCTCAAACCTACAACCTTATTATTACAGACGGGTGTGAGTGTGAGATCTGGATTATGCAATCTAGTTTAAATCAAAATATTCTATATGTCATACTTCATCAGCTGATTTTTTCAGTAGTAGTTCTAGTTGGACCTTTGGCCAATGACAACCTCTACAGAATTTTAATATATGCTGATCACAGATCCATACCTTTGACTGCCTATCAAAGTTGTCATATGTCACATGTCACCGTACCATTTCCGCTTTATCCCTCCAGATACTGACAAAGAATGTAGCGTAGAATCTTTAAAGTAATTTTAAACTATTTGTCCTCGTTTTAGTGTAGTGTTTTGTACAATTTTATGTTATTATTAATGTTTTCACATTCTACGCTTGCCGGATAGTTTATATTTTGACGAAGTAAGTCTAAAACGTTAATCTCAAAAACTTTTTTTTCATCCATTAACTTCGAGTTTTTTATCGAAGTTAACTAATTTCCTTCATCTAAAAAACGTTTTCTTGGCTTATTTCAGATGCCCCTGAAGATGCTATTTTAAGCGAAAGTACTTGGGCTAGATTTAATTATTTTGTGCTCGATAATAGCCTTATTTTTCAAAGTTTATTTATTCGAGCATTCAACCTCATTTCAATTAAATATATGTTTGTTGTAAAAAATATATAGTTTTCCTTTAATTTAATTGAACATAGAATCAATATTACACCAAATATAATTTTGACCGCCTAAATCTTTGATATCTATGTATATGAGACAGCTTAAAAACAATTAGCAATGTGAATGTCTACATAAAAAGAAGAATTTGTTTAATTTTTTTTCCTGGCATGTTAGTCAAGCTTTTAATAGCTTCCTTCGTGGTTTTTGGACAAAATATAGGACATTTTATAATTTTACATTTGTTCCCGAATACTGTAATAAAACCATACCATTACTCAATATAGAAATTAATATAATTCATCTAGGTACTTACTTGTGCACCACTATCTGGTCTCTCTTGCAATTTAGCTTGTACTTGTTTGATAAAGGCTGCTGGCACTCGTTGTTCAAACTCGTCAACTGGTGTATATAAATTTAAAATTTTACAAATTTGAGGAGCCGTTAGGACACTGCACATTTCACAAACACTAGCTACGTCTTCTTCTGATTTTCGAGCTTGCAATAAATGGGCAGCTTGGATGATAGGCTGAAGAGTTGATTGAATGGCGGGTTCCTATACAAAAAAGTAGATTAGTTTAATATACCTATCAATGAATTATTTTGTATTATTTATTTATGCAGCAATTATCATAATTAGAAGGATTTCTAATCCAATTTAAGATCCTTTAGTACTAATTTATCGGTCCATAAAATCATAATTAGGGGTTCATAAAAATTATTGCTTGTAATATTAATTGAAGGAATTGATAAAAACACTTACGTCGAAATTTTTCTCTCTTGTCCACATTTCAAAGTGCGACAAGTTGTGTCTTATTTGGAGTCCTTTGGACCAATGGCACAGTTCTTTTCTTAGAAGTAAATTATTAAGACTGGTGGCACACAAGAAGTAAAATATTTGCTTAAATATTTGAGATATAACTTCAGGGTCCACTCCGTAATACATCAAAATCTGTAAAGAAAATAAAATGGATTTTTTAAACATAACATATAGTTGTTCATATTAAAAATTGTGCACAGCTACAGAACCTACTATTACTATAAATCATAAGATATATGGTTATAAAATATAGAAACCATAGGATTTGTATAAAATTTAATACCGAAGCTTAACACAGCATTATGCTAATACCAAGAAAACTGATTTTCATAATACCAGACTATCGTAAACAACAAAAAAAGTTGTATATGAGAATACATCAAGATCTATTGAGAAAAAAAATTAAAAAGTCTATTGTTTTGGTAATAAAGAAATAACCAGAAGCAAAAAGGGAATCTGAAGAAAATAGCAACCTGTTTTTTTACAAAGTTTTTCACGAGCTTGTTGCAGTTATTCCAAGTTTTGTTCTAAATCCCTTTTAGTATTTTCTACTAACACTACATCAACATACATGAAGCAGCACAGAATATTTCTCTATAGTTTCTGTTTTCTGATCCAACAGTAGTGAGAATAAATGATGAATAAGCTCCAAGACATGCTGCAATCCTACTTTCACATTAAATTTATCAGTATTTTCCACACCTGTTCTAACACTAGTTGTTACTATATAATGTATATCTCCCACAATATTTTGTAGAGTAGTTGTTGTACTATCTGCACATTTACATTGCTACATAATTTCATATTGTTCTGAAGCTATTTTCTTGTGGCATTGTAAATTAATTACTATTTATAACTAGGAATAAGCCACAATTAAAGATAAAAATACGTTTATTGACGTTTCAATTTCCAATTCGGAAATCGTTCTCAAAATACAAACAGTAAATTATACAAATTTTGTTTTTTGTTACATAGTGAAAAAATTCTTCTAATAATTTAATTTTATCTGACCCATTTATATTGACAATTCAGACATACATTATGCATTTTAAAGTAGACAACTTTAAAATGATATTGTCAATATTGTTGAGTTGCGCTCCTGGGACGACTTTACTTATAAGATAGTTCATTCGATTACATGAAATCAACTTTAACTTGAGAATATCCGTCAGAAAAAATCATACCATGTAATTCGTCTTTAAAAAGACAAACACATGACATGATGACAGTAAAATTCTCCTGTTAGTGATTCCATAGTAAATTATGAGGGAAAAACCAGGAAAAAAACCTCATAATACTATCCCGACATTGTAAGTATTTGTTCGTGAATTTAGTTTACCTTCAACAAACATCAAAATTCTGATTTTATATGTTACTTTATTTAAAAAACATAAATGATGTATCCGCTATATGTTACTGACTTACTAATACTGGTATTTTCTTATTAATAACTTCCTCTTTCAATATTGGTAACCAGATCCTACTACATTCTGCCGAGGAATTTGCGACACAATTGGCCTCATTTAGCATAATTAGAGCCGTTTCTTTGATTTTTCTTTTTTTGCCATCCGTTTCTTTTAGGACTATATTTGAATTATTCCATTGAACCCTATGTTCATTATCCCATGCGTGTTTACATATTTGAGATCTATCAAATTCTCTATTTTTAATATAAGATTGATGTTCACTAATTCTAACATTTAATGGCCTTGATGATTCACCTAAATAAAACTGATCGCATTCACAAGGTATTTTATAAATGCAATTCTTTGTCCTTTCTTGTTCATTGTTAGGTTTGGTTTTGGACAAAATAGATCTCAACGTGTTTGTTGTTTTGAATGTTGTTGAAATGTTGAATTTATTTCCTATCCTTTTAAGTTTTTCTGATAATCCTTTTATGTACGGTATTGTTATTTTCCTCATATTATTCCTTGTGTATGCTGTAGGATCTCGTTCTAAGTTGTTCTGTTCTATTCGATCGATTGTTGAAAATTCCTTATTTATAAACGATAAAGGATAATCATTTTTTAATGAAACAGATGTTAACAAATGTTTCTCCTCCAAGAACGAATTTTCGTTAGAAAAAGTAATTTTGGCTCTATCGTATAAGGATTTAATTATTCCCTTTTTTACATTAATATTGTGATTTGATTTGAAATTTAAATATCTATTGGTGTGTGTTGGTTTTCTATACACCTGAGTCTCATATCCAGTATCGTTCTTAGAGATTAAAACATCCAGGAAAGGTAGCGTGTTATTATATTCCTTTTCCATGGTAAATGTTATTGTCTCTTCTTTATCGTTTATATCGTTTAGGAATGTGTCCAACAACTCTGATTCATGAGGCCATATTGAGAATACATCATCTACATACCTCCACCATACTATTGAAATTTTGTTTAGAAATGATATTTGTTTCAAAATTTTCCATAAATATATCGGCTAAGAATGGAGATAAACTAGAGCCCATTGCTAGACCAAAATTTTGTTTATAGAATTCATTATTTAGTTGAAAATATGTATTATCAGTACATAATGTTAATAACTCCATTATAGCCGATATGTTTAGTCTTGTCCTAGTTGCCAATGAATCATCATTCTCTAATTTTGTCTTGACTGTACTTAAAGTCTTATTTAATGGCACATTCGTAAATAAACTATTTATGTCAAAACTTACCAAAGTATTATTTGAATTAAATTCAATATTTGATAATTTATTTAAAAAATGTTGTGTATTTTTTATGAATGTGTCATTTTTATTTGTATAAGGTTTTAAAATATTTAATAAAAATTTTGATAGTTCACTACAAGGAGAATTTATGGTACTACAAATGGGTCTAAGTGGTATATTCGTTTTATGAATTTTCGGTACTCCATAAAAATGAGGAGTCTTACTGTAATGAGGTGTAATTAATCCTCTCTGATAACTTGTTAAAACATCTTTAAACTTGAATAAAGTTCTATATATTTTGTTTTCCAAAGGCTTTGTTGGATCTTTTGTTAATTTTGTATAAGGTCCGTTTATTAATAGATCTTTAATTTTATTTTCGTATTGAATTTTATCCATTATTACAGTTTATATTACAGATATTCTCAAGTTAAAGTTGATTTCATGTAATCGAATGAACTATCTTATAAGTAAAGTCGTCCCAGGAGCGCAACTCAACAATATTGACAATATCATTTTAAAGTCGTCTACTTTAAAATGCATAATGTATGTCTGAATTGTCAATATAAATGAGTCAGATAAAATTAAATTATTAGAAGAATTTTTTCACTATGTAACAAAAAACAAAATTTGTTTAATTTACTGTTTGTATTTTGAGAACGATTTCCGAATTGGAAATTGAAACGTCAATAAACGTATTTTTATCTTTAATTATGGCTAATTCCCAGTTATAAATAGTAATTAATACATAATTTCAATGGAAACATGCCATTACTCAAAATTACACAGGCCAACAAAATTTGATCAATAATTGGACCCAAAGATCAAAATCTACTTTTTAGAAGTTTTTTGTGCTCTGAATTCAAACCTGAGCTCCAATATGTCAAGTTGGCTCTGGTTTCTAAAATAGCCTAATCTAAAAGTGCAAAATAGCGGTTTTCTGGCATAGACATAGAGGGTGTCCCATAATTAATTGGACATTAACTAATGGGTGATAGATGACATCAAAATAAGGCGTTTAAGCTCAAATTGCTTAGGCAAAATGTTGCTAGTTTTCATTCTATAGGGTCATTCATTATTATTTTTTATATTATTTTTAGGGATACCTATATTCAAAACTATTTAACTGATTTAAGTGAAATTTGGTATCTTGTTATTATTTAGTATGCTTAATATGAAAATATTTTAGTTTTATCATTAACACTAGGTGGCGCCACCTACCATAACATTGATTCATTAATGTGGTCATATTTTTTTGTTCGCCCTATATAAACATTATGGAAAAAAACATAAAATAACATTTAATTCTACACAAAAAAGATATTCTTGTTTAAAATCAAAAAATGAGAGCGTTTTTTAAATAAACGTATTTTGTTAACGATACATGTCTCTATTTAATATTTTGCAAAGCAAATACGCTTTAAACTTAATGGCAACGTCAAGACGTAACTACGAATTTATTTTATTAAAAGTGCTATTAAGTTTTTTATAAACGACTTAAAATAAAGGTAAAATGCCACGTCACACTAAATTTTATAACGTAGAAATGCGCGATATGGATCTGTTTTTATGCCCAGGAAAATTTTTTTCTCGTAAAGCAGCACAACGCTTTTTCGAACTTTATCCCGAAAGAAGGCAACCAAACCATAAAACTATTAGGTTCGACAGATTAGGCGAAACAGGATCATTTCATGCCAAAAACTGGAATGCTGGAAAATCGAGAGTAATTGCTACGGATATGGAGGATGAAATTGTCGTGCGTGTTGGAGAAGATCCAGAAACCAGTACAAGGCTTGTTTCTGCGGCCACTGGTATAAGCAAATCTACGGTGCCACAAATAATATGGACAGAATATCTGTATTCGTACCGTTTTACTCCAGTAAACCATAGGATTTTCCAGCAAGGCTCCGATTTAATCCGTTTATGATAGGGCGGCATTTATACGATCCAATGTTTTATAATAAAATTTTATTTAGTGATAAAGTCACATTTACTAGAAGAGGTGTGTTTAACTGGTGCAATAGCCATACCTATGCGACAGAAAATCCTTATGCATTTCAGGAACATCATTTTCAACATAAGTTTTCCATAAATATCTAGTGTGCCATATTTGGGGATTGTATTGTAGGACTATTCGAATTACCAATTAGAATTGACGGAGTAAAATTATCTAAATTTTTTAAGAGAAGATTTACCAACTCTTGTACAAGACATACCTCTAAATTTGATATGTAACTCTTGGTACATGAATGATGGTGTACCACCACATTATAGCCTAGAAAGTAAAAATTATCTAGATGAAATGTATCCTCAAAGGTGGATTGGTAGATTTAGCGTATACCCATGGCCAGCACGCAGTCCCAAACTAAATCCCCTAGACTTTCACTTGTGGGGCTACCTAAAGTCACTTGTGGGGCTACCTAAAGTCACTTGTTTATAAAAAAATAACCATCAAGAGTTATGG